GCCCCAAGCACCACATTTAACACACAGGAGTTGGGCCCGCTGGAGATCAGAGGTGGCTCGCGCTGATGCAAGCCTGGTTCCTGAAACTGCAACCAGCCTATGCCCAAAATCCTGGAGGGTGAACTGCTCTAAAAACTTGGGAGTCCCCCGGCAGCCTGTCATCGGCATGTTTCCTACCTGGGGACCAACGCAGAAGCACTGCACGCATTGCCATCCCAGCTCACCCCACACCCAGTCGTGCCACCCAGTCCTCACCGCCCGCCTCGCTCTCTTCCCGCATGTCAGAGGTCGCTGCCAGCGCTGGGCCCCTGTATCTTCAAAGAGGGGCAGCACCGCAGCCACAACCTTGGCAAAGTTGAGTGCTCGCTCCTCTGCCAACTCAAGATCATTGAGGAAGGAGGGGCTAGGAGCAGGGTGAAGGCGAGCAGCATTCTTCGCCTCTCGATCGGCACGACAGTTGGCCAGAGCCAGGCGCTTTTCAGCTTCATCTAATTCGTCAATTACCTGCATACTTCTGTGGGCTTTGACATGAAAAGCCGTCACATGCTTGCGTCCTGGCAGGGAACGAGCAAACTTGTGAGCAAAACCAAAAACATGGAGGTGGAGGAGGAGGAGAAGGAGGAGGAGGAGGAGGAGCAGGAGCAGGAGGAGGGGGAGGCGCAGAATCAAGCTGTTAAGGGCGGCGACCCCACAAAGTCGGGAACCGGGGGGAACGATGCCTTCAAAGGGGGCATCGGCGGCCTGCGCCCCTCGCGCTCTGGCCGAGGCGGCCGCCGCTTTCCTGTCCTCGGGCGGCCTGCCCCAGCGAGGCTGCCCCATCCAAGGAGAGACCGAAACATCTCAACACCCGCTCAGCATCCAGCGTTGTGGAGGACGATCAATGGAGAGGAAGCATGTTGCCAGATAGTGCCCAGATGTCTGAAACATGTGTTAAACATGGTCGGATCCCCCCCTCGCGGGCCTCGTGTTGGAGCCTCGGGCGTACGCCCCCCACATTGGGAGCAGAGGGGGAGGGAATCCACAGGGCGCTGTTCCCTACCTTTGTGGAGGACGGTCAATGGAGAGGAAGCATGTTGCCAAATAATTCACAGATGTCCAAAACATGTTAAACATGTTTTGAACATGTAAAACACGTGTTTCAAACATGTCCAGGACATTGTTCCGGCATTTTAAACACACGTTAAGTTCAATGCCAGGACGGTTAGGGTGCCCTTTGTCGTGGCATCCACAACCCTACCTCCAAGGACCTGGGCCCACCACAGCTTGTGCCCCCGACAGCACCAAGCCTCCCGAGGCTCTCGGGATCCTTCGACGGAGGCCTCTGGTAGGCCTTCCAGTCTCTCAGGGTCCTCCTCGGGCAGGCTGCCCCTCTCGCCGGCAGGAGGCCAGCAAGCCCCGGGGATCGGAAGCCCAGGGATAACTTCCAGGGGAGCCGTGGTGAGCCGTTCCAGCCCATCAGGGTCATGGAGCTCAGCTTTACTGATCTGCACCTGAGGCCGAGGAGGAAAATCATAACATAATGCTGAGGACCAGTGTAAACCCAGTAACCATCAGTGGCATTGCAATCTACCCTCCCTCCAAGCTCCATCCTCATAGGCCCCTACAAGGGTTCATTTCCATTGAAGGAAGTGCCCCGTTGGAAGAGAGCCGTTCGAACATTTGGAATTGCGCCGGAACGCCATTCCATGGACTTCAACGCCGCGAATCACCGTTGTCGTTGCGCCTCGACGATCTTGAATCGTGCCAGCACACCATTTCTGGGGTTCCAACGCCGCCACTCAACCTGACTGTTGCGCCGTGACATTCCGACATCGTGCCGCAACATCATGTCTGGAACGTTCGCCATGACAGTATGTGAAGTCGCTGCCAACTCTACAAGTCGAATGTGCGCGGCGCTAAGGCGAGAGCCACATTTTGGAAAGGAACCGCCCTCCACCTTTGAAGCGCTGATGAACCTGTGAGAAAAATGTGCGCGGTGCTCAAGCGAACACAACATTTTGAAAACGGGCCGCCGTCCATCCGTGAAGCTCTTGCACGCTTAAGAACGAGTGCGCTCGGCGCTGAGGCGAGAGTCACATGTTGAATATGGGCCGCCCTCCATGCGTGAAGCTCTGGCCATGTTTTAAGACGGGTGTGCGTGGCGCGAAGGCGAGGGCCACAGTTTGAGAACGGACCGCCCTCCATCCGTGAACTTGTTGCACATATAAAATGTCAGGGTCGTGCGTGGTGAGTAAGTCAGAGGAAACGCCCAGCTGGCTCTTTCAACTGGCCTCGGGGTGCGACAGGGAGGAGTTAGTCACAAGGAAGAGGGATGGAAGAGGAGGGGATGGAAAAGGAGGGTGTGGCGGGGGAAGAGGAGCAGGCGGAGGGAAAGGAGGAGGAGGAGGAGGCTGACGCTGCGGGCGAGCTCTTGCCCCATAGCATGCCAAAGAGGAAGAAGAGGAGGAGGAGGAGGAGGAGGGTGGAGGAGGGGTCGGAGGAGCCCTGAGCCCCCACCCCACCCGTGCTCCCCGATCCACTTCCTCCAGCTCCTCCTCCACCTCCTCCTCCTCCTCTTTCTCCTCCTCCTCCTCCTCCTCCTCCTCCTCCTCCTCCTCCTCCTCCCCCTCCTCCCTCGCCTCCGCTTCCCGCCTCCTCCTCCCCCTCCCCCTCCTCCTCCTCCTCCGCCTTTTCCGCCTCCTCCCCTCCTCCTCCTCCTCGTCCTCGTCCTCCTCCCTTCCCCTTCCTCCACCACGCCCCTCCTCCCCCCTTGCCCTCCCCCCTTCCCCTCCCCCCCTCTCCCCCCCGCTGAGGAGCGACTGCGACGCCTCGCGGGCGGATCTCCTCGAGCGCCGCGGGGCGCACGACGCGCTGCGGGTGGCGCTGCCCGCCAGCGCCCAGGAGGCGGAAGGGCTTGCGCCCGCGGACGGGGCGGGGTGTGCGCTGGAGGGCGGGGTGCCCTCCACCTCCCTCCTGTCCTCCGCGACCGCTCCTCCTCCCCGCGCGCCCCCACTTGCAGCCAGACAAGTATTATAACGCTTTTCTCTTCGCTACCGGCGCGGCCCGCCGTAGCAGACTCGGCGTTCGACTCGTTTCGCGCGCCCGCGGACCAAAACAAATCCCCACCAGCCCATCAAGAAAGAGATCGCAAGGCGAGTTGCCTTGATCAGGCAAGTGTAGGAGCATGCAGTGCAACAGCCGCTTTGGACGTGTTTTCTCGGAGGCCTCTTGGAGCCATGTTGGGTCTCTCTTGGGGTCCTCGCGGAGCCACTCGGGGCACTCTTGGGGCAATGTTGGGGCTCCTTTGGGGGTCTAGGGGTCCTCTTAGGGGTTCTTGGGGGGGGTCTGGGAGACCTCTTGGGTCCATCTCGGCCCCCGAGGCTCAACAAGAGAGGGGCGCCGTATTCAGGTCCCCCCATCGGAGGCTCAAACATGTCGTCTTGAGGCCCTCGGGGGCCGTTATTGGAGCGCTCTTGGGGCCGTCCTGGAGCCGTCTTGGAGCCCTCTTGGGGCTCCCTTGGGCCATTTGGGAGCCATTTGGGGGGTCCCGAGGCCCATCGGACGCGATAAGGCGAGAAGGCACAAATCATCAATGTTCCTAGGCTTTGGGGCCATGTTAGCCTCTCTTGGGGGGTCCTTAGTGGGCTCGGGGGGCACTTGAAACCATCTCGGGGTCGCCTTGCGGCCTCTTGAATGTGCGTCGGCGGCTATAACGAACCATGTTCGGCTATCTTGGGCCATCTTGGAAGCTATATTGGGCTCTCTGAGGCCCTCTGGGAGCCATCTTGGGCCATCTTGGGCGCTCTCACCGATCGCGCCCCCCCCTTTCCCAGGGCCAGGGTAGGGGGTAGAGGGAGGGGTCAAGACACCCTCTTAGATAGCAAGCCGTCTAGCTCACTCCCACCCACCCTCCCAACACATAAGTAATACCCGAGTCTCAGCATATTCCGCTGTCGTCTTTGGATGGGCAGCCATTGGAAACCAATACCGACCCCATGTGCGTGACGCTGGGGCGAGGTGCGCCACGCGTGCCAGGCCCGCTACGCGAGCCAGGCACCCCTGGGGCCCGAGCGTGCCAGGCACGCCAGGTGCGCCAAATGCGCCACATGCTCCACGTGCGCCAGGTGTGCCGCATACTCCAGTCGGGCCAGGTGCGCCACGTTCGGGGCACGTGTAGGGTGTGTCAGGTGCGCCTGCGTACGTGAGAGCACACATCGGGAAACATGTCGGCTCCCACCATCCTTGTCGAAAGCCACTGCCCATCATTGTGCCTGGTGGGCTTGCGCACAGCAGGCCATACGCCACCACCCCCGCCGTCCCTGTCAACAACCACTTGACCTGATCGCAGGTGGCCGCGCATGATCCAGATTTAGCCGTGAGGCGCATTGTGCATAGTTTTTTTTGACAGGGATGGTGGCCTTGCGCGCAGCAGGCAATATGCTGACACTCCTGCCGTCCCTGCCCCCCCCCCCAAAAAGAAATACACAGTGCTCGCGGGCCTCACGGACATGACTGAAGACTTTGCTCCAAAGTATTGCATTCTTTATTGACAGGGATGGTTGTTTTTGACAGGGATGGTTGGGGGCTGGGGAGCATAGGGTCGGCATTGTTCCTGGTTGATTGCCGTTCGCCTGGGGGAGGGGGGGGATTTTGATAGGTCGCAGTGATAATCCTTCCCCCGAGCAGGGAAGGAGGGATAGTGGCAGATAGAAGACACAACTCGTCAAACCACCTGCGCCCAGAGGGCTGCTGGGATTACTTTGTCGGGCGCCCCCGACAACCCGAGCGCCGGTGCGGGTTGCCTCTGCCGTGCCGCGACTAAACGAGTGGAGGCGGGGGGGGGGGAGGAGGGCAGGGGGAAGGCTCCTTAGAGGCACCCTGCGCGCCGCCAGTGGAGGGCGGGGTGGAGAGGTTCTCGGAAACCCGCGCGGGGAGGGCGGGGCGAGTGGAGGACGGGGAGGGGCGTGGGCGGAGGGCGGGGCAAACGGGGGGCCCAGGCCCCAGGGGAGATGGCTGGGAGAGGGGCTATTTGAAACCTACGCGGGGTTGGTCCCCTGCCTCCCACTCCAGTCGTTTTCCATCGGAGCGCTTCCGATAGGACCGCGCCCCCAAGGGTGGACGCGGGCGGGTCGCGGCTCGCTCCTGCGCGCGAGCCCAAGCTGCAGGCGGAGGAGAGGAGGGAGCCAACTGAAGAGTCTGGGAGACACTGGAAGAAACTTGTTAAACCACCTCCGCCCGAAGGGCTGGTGAGATGAAGACGTGTTGGTGCATGACTGTGTGAAAATCCATGTGCACAATGCTATCGCAGGCCTCCGACATCTGGCTCAAGCCACGGGTACGAGTATTGCCACCGTCCGGATCAAACCACTCTCCCGCAGTTTCCCCTTTTTGCATTCTTTTTAGGCTCCGCAGTGCTCTAATACTTCGCACTCCACTTCGCCCTTCCCATTCTTCGCACTCCTCCCCACTCCTGCCAGATGCTCCCCACTCCATTCGACTTCCTCCACCCCTTCCAAACCAGCAGAACCCTCCGAATCATCGAGTACTTGTTAGGAGCACGGTGGACGGACTAAAAGTGTCCACACTCGTCGCGCGAAGACAGCGCGATCAGAGTACACCATACCCATTTCTGTAGCCCCCACCTTCCCAAGTTGACCTCAAGTTTACGGGGTTGGACGTGAGGCAGCTCGCGATGGACAAAGTGTGGATGGACATTTCAACTTTGGGATCGGAAGGTAGGCTTGCGAACCATCTGTATTATGTGGCTGCGCATGTTATCACTGCAGATGTCTTATGTAAATCCATCGGTGTGGACGCATTTTGTCCTGGCACTGGAGGGGGGGAGGGTTGGAGGGGGTGGGCGAGGGAGGGGGGGGGGCGTAAGCCTCTCGGCCCCCCCACCGGGGATGGAGGGAGGGGAAGGAGGAGGGAGAGGGAGGAAGAGAGGGAGGGAGGGAGGGAGAGAGGGAGGGGAAGAGGAGGAGGATGCGGAGGAGGAGGAGGTCCAGAGTAAACCCAGGATGCATCAGCGATGCTGCAATACGCCCACCCGTCCCACGTCCTCTCCCCACGAGCCCCTTCAAGAATTCCTTTTCACTGCGGCGAGTGCCTCTTGAAAGACGAGCGCCTCGTGGTCCTGCAATTAGGGCGGGAGCCACGTTTTCAACATGAATCGCTAGCCATGCCACCAGCTATACGGTCGGGAACTGCTGGCGGGCGTGTCGCTCCGCCGTTTCAGGGCGTGTCGCTCCGCCTCGGCGCGACGCGCTACCCACTTCTCTCGGTGCCCCGGCTTCAGCGTCCCGAGCCTGTCCAGCCCGCAGCCCCGCGGAGCGGAGCGACGCGCTATCCGCTAGCAGGGCACAGCGTGTCGCCGGGGCCGCTGCGGCGACACGCTGTGCCCTGCAAGCACAAGTTCCCGACCGTAAGAAGGACGGCGACGAGGTACGACCATAAAGTCAGAGGAAGTGTCCAGAGAGAGCCCCGGACTGCAAAATAGCAGCCTCAATGCGCCTGTTGCTCTCAGCTCTTGAACGTCTGGTCATTTGGTCCAACGAAGTCTCAAGCGAGAGCACCGATGTGGAAAGGAGCCGCCCTCCATCCGTGTAGCTTTTGGAACATTTTCTTCCAGGCGACTGCGCGCGGTGCTAAGACAAGAGTCGCAATTTGGAAAGGAGTCCCATCTCCATCGGCGGAACCTTTGGAACTTTAGAGACGAATGTGCGCGGCGCTAAAGCGAGAGCCACATGTTGAAAGCCGCTCCCTTCCATCCGTGTAGCTGTCAGAAGAGGCGTTTAAGACGAATATACGCGGCGCTAACGCGAGAGCCACATTTCGAAAGTTGCCCCCCCTCGACAAGTAGAAATGCGGTACGGAATAAGAGGCGGAATGGGATAAGAGGCGGAGATAAGGATGGAGAGAGAGGCGGGGAGACAAGCGGCGGAATGGAATAAGGATGATGGCGGTATATGGTAAAAAATAAGGAGGTTGATGAATATAGTTGTTGTCACTGTTTTGTTGCTTAGTTTAATAACACCCCCAGCATGTTTTTCAATACTCTTCGAACGATAAAAAAAGCATCATGTTGATACGTTGTTTGACACTTTCGACGTAGCTCCATGCTTTCCATCTCCAGCGGACCGCGAACATCGTGATCGTAGGACGAGTATGTGCGGCGCTAGGGCGAGAGCCACATGCTGAACACGTCCCGCCCTCCATCCGTGCAAGCGTGGGGAACCGTCAAGACGAATGCGCGCAGCGCTAGGGCGATAGCAACATTCAGGAGGGGAAAAACACACAGACACAATTAATCGGCGATTCCCAGAAAAGATGGGAATATATGGGAAGTGGGGGGAAGACAACCCAGAAAATATTGGAAAATATGTGGAATAGGTTTATTTGTGTATGTATTCATTCGTGTGTCCCAGTTCCCCTTCAAACATGCTTGAACACGATCTGCTCCATCCGTGCTGCGGCTGGACCTGTTTGAGAAGAGTGTGCGCGGCGCTGGGGCGAGAGACACATTTCGCCAGCCCGCCCCACCCGCACGCCTCGTGGTCAGGCGAGGAGGAGGAGGAGGAGGAGGAGGAGGAGGAGGTATCTGAAAGGGAAAAAAGGGAGGTATAGAGGACGGGAGGGAGGGAGGGCTGGAGGAGCAGGAGGAGGAGGAGGAGGATGAGGATGAGGAGGAGGAGGAAGAGGAGGAGAGAGGGGGGGGGGCCGTGGCGCTTTAACCCGCTGCCTGCCGTCCACGTGCGGCAAGGACAGCGAGGAGGGCGCGTAGGGGCCGAGGGTAGGCGAGAGGAGGAGGAGGAGGCGGAGGAGGCGGAGGAGGAGGAGGAGGAGGAGGCGAAGGACCAGGACAGCTAGGAGGAGGAGGATTATGAGGAGGAGGAGGACGCCGAGGAGGAGGACCCGGAAGAGGAGCAGGAGGAGTAGAAGGACTACGAGGATAAGGGGCAGGACACCGAGGAGGACGAGCAGCGAGGAGGACAGCGAAGAGAGCAGCAGGACGCGCGGCGAAGACAGCGAGCAGGAGGAGAAGGAGGCTTGAGGATCTCTCCAGGTTTCCTAGCCCTTTCCTCCTGCACCTTTTGGAGGCATGTTATGCTCACGCTGGCCTGCACCTTTGATGCCATGTGGCGATCAAATAGGGGGGGGGCTCTCCTCGTCAGCGGACGCTTCCACGATCGTTTCGCCGTTTTCGTGGTCCCAGGGGAGGGCGATGGCGAAGGTCTTCTGACGTCCTTGGAAGCTTTCGGAAGTCGGTCTCCCCTCCGTCAGCCCAGGCTCGGTGGGAGCCTCAGACGCGGCAGCGATGCCCCGACCAGACTTCTGCGGGCCACGGTTGTGCCCCACCCCCTCCCCGCACCACTGGGGCGTCGCGGAGAGACAACAACGGCAGCCCGCTTGTCCCCCATGTGGGGGGGGGGCAGGAGGGTGATGCTTGCTGAGCGCCGATCGGCTTGCTCGCGTCGAGCCAGCTTGCCCCTGATCGGTCGCCTCCTCCTCATCCTCCTCCTCCTCCTCCTCCTCCTCCTCCTCGGTCACTCCCTTGGCTTTGTTTTGCAGCCGTTCAGGCTCAAGGGTGGGTCTTTTTAGGCCGGAAACCCCTTGCCGCTCTCCGAGCATGTCTCTCTTGTCACAGCAGGTCTGGGGCGACACAAAGTTCGGGCCCTTGGCACGGGGGTCCCCACTTGTAGAGATTCGCGCCATGGGGTCGTTTTTCTTTGGTCTTGGCGCTCGGGACGGACCTCGGGAGACCCGAACTCAGAGAGGCCAGCCGTCTTTGGCGAGACGCTGGGGGCCGATCGGCTCGGCCGTGGGCCGGCGCCAGAGAGGGTCGCCCTCGGAGGGCTGCTCGAAGAAGCCCTGCTGTCGGAATACACACTCTGTGATGGGGGGGCCTGACGCCACCAAAGCCTTCGAGCAGGAATGTCGATTTGCGGCGAGGGGGGGCAGGAGGAGGAGGAGGAGGAGGAGGATCAGGAGGAGGAAGAGGAGGAGGAGGAGGAGGAGGAGGAGGAGCAGGAGAAGGGAGAGTAGGTGGAGGATGAAGAGGGCCAGAGTAAACCCAGGATGCATCAACGAGGCTGCAATACGCCTTGCCTTGCCCCCTCCTCATAAATCCCTACAGGCCTTCCTTGTCATGTAAGGCGAGAGCGAGCCATACGGCATGCGAATAGGTAAGATGATAAAGCGCAGCCAGGTGTCTAGCGAGAACTCAGCTTTGGGGAGAAGCCGCTCCTCATCCGTGTTACTGTTGCACCATATTGCACATCTGGTAGAACACATGGAGGAGGTCCCGAACGAGAGCCTCATTTTGAAAAGGAGCCGCCATCCATCCGTGCAGCTTTCACATGGTTCGAAGCCTCTAGTTGTTCTAAGTAGAGGAAGTTTCGCGTGAGAGCCTACATAAAAGCATAAGCTGACCTCCATCCTTGCAGTTGCTGCACTTTGAAGACCAAGATGCGCGTCGCTAAGGCGAGAGCAGCATTTTGAAAAACACCCAAACGAACCTCTAACTCCTGGGAATGCTGTTTTGAAAAAACAATGCGGAGGGGGGCGGACATTTCCCGGACGTCACCAGGGGAGAGAGGAGAGTAGTATTCATATGGTGTAAGTGTAGAGGGAGGGCGGGGGGGTAGGAGGAGGAGGGGGAAATCGTCAAAGAGGCGCACAATTCCTACCGTAAACCTCAGAACAGATTCCGAAACTTCCGAGGCTAGTGGGCTATTGGGCTAGGCCAGGATCACTTCCATCGACAATTGGATCGGGGGCTCGACGGAGTCAACCGACTGGCCCGCGCAGCCAGCTTTTGGGGGCGTCTCCACCCTCGCCGCACACAAGAGGAGAAGGAGGATGAGGAGCCCTCCCTCCTTCTCTCTTTCCATCCTCCCTTGTCCTTCCTCCCCCTCTGGCCACCTTGGAGAACTCAGGACCTCCGACAAGGTGCGAAGACTGGTGGAAATCTGTACACAACCACCGAAAGTCTCTTGACCCCCCCCCCACCTCCTCCTCC